AATTTCCATTTGGAAATAATAATCAATAGGGATGAGTGATATAAAAAAAAAAACCTCTACATTTTGTATCATAAGCAATGTATCATAAGCAGAAATATTGATATACCAAAATACCGGTTGAATAATTTGCGATATTGATGATATCAATGTGGATTCGATATTTCTATTTTTTAAGCATTTTATGCGTATCGATCGCAAAAAATCAATCTTTTTGCAAAAATAATGATGAGATTGTTTTTAAGACTATTCCATCAATCTTTTTGAATAACTATTTCAATCAGAGTTTTAAAAAATTATGTTATTTTTATTTGCAATTAGTAGTGTATATAAATATTATATATAGTATTAATTAGTTTCAATCCAATCTCAATTCGCACTAAATTAACACGGACTTAACGGACCGTGTCAGAAGTCGCATATTCCTTTTCAAATATCGATACATCAATATCGAAAGATGAAATATCGGTACAAAATAACGAGGAAAAAAGTCTGTAAATATTTTATCAATATTTAAAATATTGGCGCTGTATCGCCCATCTCTAATCAGTATACTGATTGATATCGTTAGCAATTATATTTTTCTAATTTACTAGAAATATTGCTAAGGACGAAACTCAAAATTATATATATCACTGTTAACTTCCTATTAATATTTTCTCATTTTTACAAGCAAGTTGAATGGTCACAGAAAGCTCACCAGAAAGACTCTATTCGTAGATACAATCATGTCAAGAAAACACGTTTCGTTTCAACTTACCGAATATTAGATTATTCCACGCTTTGGGACTTTATGTGCTGAGGATATTAAATCAAATTATATTTCTAAATAAATTTTTAATGATTAGACTACTTCCGTTGGTTTTTCTGGAAGCGGTTTATCACTCATATTTATCTGCACAGATTTGTTGATTTTCTCGATAGTCTTGCGATAGATCCGGTCTCTGATGTTCGCCAACAAACAAGTGATGCAATGCAGCACTGTTACGAATGTGAAACCGCCAATACAAACGAGTGACGTTCGCAACGGCTTCTTCCAATCAAGGATTTTGTAGATGTAGTGATAACCATATTTGTCAAGGCCGCCAGCAAGATAGTAAATCACTGAGAAGATTACATAGAACATAACGATCGATAAACACCACCAGAAGTTTCGCAGACGGAACGGTATGTTGGTAACAAATAGATCAATCAGCATCAGCACGGTGTTACACACGTGCATCATGATATTGAGCGGGTCCACCTGATGAATCGCTGGATTATATACGGTGAGCCAATAGCACACCGTTACGCCAATTGCCATGTTGGTCGTGACAACGTACAGAAACCAATATAGTCGTTCAGTGGACTCCAATTTGAGATTGCAAGGATCAAAGCCGGATATCTTCTGTAATCGCCATCGCTTCGACACAAGGATACCGCCAATCAGCGCTTGTGTAAAGCCCAGAGCTATGTCCCAGTTGGTCAGATAGATTGGCCATTTCTCATACTGCATTAGTGGTTTATAACTGCCAAATTCAAATACCGAACATATGACAAAAGCGGCCCAGACGAGGAAGATGATCCAACGGTAGTATAGATACCAAATAGCCACGTACGATTGGCACTTCGGTTCGGACAGCACACGCGCCTGTGGTGGTTCCTGTTTAGCCACCTGTCTCCACCTGTGGCCAATCTCTTGACACCAGAGTTTGCTCACCATTGTGCGGTGACCTGAAATGATGAGGAATCAATGATATTTCTCTTATATTTATTGAAAAGAACGTGAATTAAATATGCGAATTGAGTTTGACAAAGATCAAATTGAATTTGGAGAGGCTGTTAGATAGAACGTACTCAAGAAAATGGGCAATCAGATAAAGAGATACGCGTCAAAAAGAAAAATTCTTGGAATAGATTCAAGAGATAACGGAGAACCGCGCGCCTACGATGACTCTTAACAAATAACGAGTGGGCAGCCAATTCAACCTGAAAACGGTACATAGCAGGAACATGCAATCACGCTATTCTGAACATAGCGTGATCCAATGATTAATGCTTTAATAAATGTAATTATTCTCCGAAAAGGACCGCGCATGCTTTGTCGCGCTTGGACGAGCAAGCGCATGTGCAACATTTCCGCGACCACTTCCGCCTTACTACGATCGAACAGAACATTCATTACATTTTTCTTTTCTATATATCAGCATAATCAATAATTATGTGCTTCTGGAATACTTTTTTGAAATTTTATCAACATATTTCTAATTATATAATTTTTTAAATATTGAATTAATAAGTGTAAAATATTAATTAATCTGATAAATTAGAAGATTCGATTTTTTTCTTCCAAGTTTATAAAATTTTATAAATTTCAAACGTTTTTAGATCTAATAATAATTAACCGTTATTGCAATGAGCATGTGTAATGTAATGACACCTTGTAACATGCTTTGATAACAACGAAACCACGTTATCGAAAATTGATTCCACACTTGCGAGATGGTCTCGATAGTTTTTCAGTGGACGACTTACATAGCGAGCATTGTAAAAAGAGCAACAGTAGTCGTTTCGAAGAAGGCAATCCTGTGAACGAGAGCACCATCCTCGAAAGATACGGTCGCGATGATACGACAAATATGCGTGATCTGAGAGCACCTAACCTAACCTAACAGTTACCTAAGCTATCCAATTTGTCTTGACAGCTGATCAAATTAAAACGCGCGAAGGCAAAAAAATATATTTTTGATATAAATATGTCATCTCTAATTCTCTTACACACAAGGAATAATACAAACACGGAGAATAATGCTAAAATAAAAGTATTTACGTGCGAATTTAGTCCTTTTTTCAAAGTAATTAGATAAAGAGCTGAGTGAGAGAATATGCATTTTTTGGCGCAGATTTATTCAAAATAAATCTTTAAATTCTTTAAAATATCGTTAGAGTTATTGTAGGATTATATTTTGACGAATTAAATCCGATTCGAATATCGCATCAACTGATTGAAGTAAGACACTTTGTACCTTGCATGTGATTGCGTGATTTCTAATAATCGATTAAGAAATATCCATACTGAATCGTTAAAATTTGCGACTTACTTCAGACTGACAAAAACGAAGTTTGAATGCCTTCCTTCGACCGACGCCGCAAAATAACTATGACTAAGAATGCAATAATGAGAGAGATTCAGCAAAACGAGTTTCGATCACTCGGAACGAAGTCACATTTTTAGCGACGAGGAAAATAATCAACGCAGGTAAATAGTAAATATTGCAAGGTAATTCACTATGCGAATGAGTCGAGTTTAATCCTAATGTCACGACTCGAATATGACACTCGAATATATTGTATATAAACTAAGCAGGACAATAATTTATTGTCGTACTTGGTTTATAAATATTCGAGTGTTCGGAGAATCTCTTGTGCACACCGTTACGGTGACGCGGATGGGAAGCCACTTTGAACTAATTAACCCAATGTTGTTCCATCAGGTCGCTGAAAATCAGGTCTTTCGCGCAAGCACGAAAATCCTTCAATGATGCGTGATAAAACCTTCCATCAATAACAGAGGAAATACAGTTCACATCTGATCCCAAGCATATCTGGGAGTGGTTTGTGTATTTTGAAATGAAAATCACATGTGAAAATTATATAAATTAGCAAATTTACTCATATTTATATTAGGTGTTGGAATTAATTCGTAGCGTTTTTTAATGAAAGAATGTTATTTATTTCACATGAGCATTAAAAAATACATTAATGAAAGTACTTCCCATCACTTGTAAAACGCTACGAATTAATTCCAACACCTAATAATTTCATTGAATTTCAAATAAATTGATCTAGTAAATTCGCCCACTTTTATAATTTTCACCTCATGTTTAAAAATACATAATCAATCCTTTATGGAGCGAATGTGCCTCAGACATTCCACTTCAAACCGGATACCTTTGGAATTTTGTCATTTAAAAATTTTTTTTTAATTTGCCGACATATTCTACAGAAAATGCTAAAAAATATGACACGTGTTTCGCGAAAAAAATTTGAGATTTTTTTGTGAAGTTATTCACGCTTGTAAGTTGCAGAAATTCATAAAAAAATCGCTCATGCGATTCAAATTATTATATCGTTGAAACCATTAGTCGTACAAAAAAAATGCAAGAAATTATTTAAAATCTTTAAAATTGGTCTCTTGCATTTTTAAAGATCTCAAATAATTTCTTGCATTTTTTTGTACGACTCAAATTTTTTTGAGTACTCATACTTTTATCTGTAAATATACCATCAAATAAAAGAAAAATTAAAAATGATATTTTCGAGCTTAGAGGCTCGCGACGGTAAGCCCCGCTCCTCGCGGTTCGATGTATTCGTCGTATTTTCGGCAATAATAGGTCGGGAGGATGTGCGTATACGGCTATTTTTAAATGTTAATATCTCATTAATTATTGCAAGCATTGCAAAATAGGAGGAAACTTTTCTACTCAGTTTAGTCCGCTCTACTTGCTCGGGACGAGTGGGGGCCATATATTCATACCATCCTGTATATTTAGACTTAACACGGTATCTACAATGGTGCTCGTAGCTACAATCTTAGCTCGTAGAAAATTAATCAATCATAGTTGAATAATCGAGAATAATAATGAGAAGAATCGATTATAATTGATCAATTTTCTACGACTTGTGATCCTACGCTATGATTTCTGTTGTAGACACCGTATTAGTTACTCGAGTTCTTGAATAAAGTTTCGAAACGCAAATCGATAATTTTCTTTCGCCGAATAGAGTATACGTATTTTGTAATTTGCATTAGTAAAAAACCTTCCATTTTCATTTATTTTCAAAAATCTCCTTTCGATGGGTCTTAAAACCATTCAAATGAAGGAAACCCTTTCAATGGAACAGTATTGAATTAATCACCGACTTTGAGGTTTACACGGCATGACAGGAGAGATGACAGAAGAGATTGGCCGGTGCTCATATATAACGTGCGCCTGCAAACGGAAGGTCGGCCGGTCAATCAGCCAATACTAATTCACCGTTCATTTATCACAATCTTGGTCTATTACAGCCTGTTACATTGGCACGAGCAAGTGACCGAGCTTAAGCGAATCGTTATCTATTGAGAGTATCTACCTCTGCGAAAGGTAGAAGAAAGTAAAAATGCATGAGTGATTCGAAGATGTTGCCAAGACATATCGTTCCAAGAATTGAATTCGTCATTTCAAAAATCGGAACTACGTGCATGCTTCATGGTTCTTGAACATTTTCTTTTTCAACATTTTTTTTAACATATTTTTTTAACATATTAGGTGTTGGAATTAATTCGTAGCGTTTTTTAATGAAAGAATGTTATTTATTTCACATGAGCATTAAAAAATACATTAATGAAAGTACTTCCCATCACTTGTAAAACGCTACGAATTAATTCCAACACCTAATATTTTAATTATTTTATTATGAATTTTGAAATTAGTAAATAAAAGAAAGAACGAGAAACTTAGACATAGGATATTTATCTATTTTTAGACATTACAGAATGCTAGGAAATTGGTACAGTAATTCCGCCTCGTGTATTTAAGACGTTATGAAATAATAATTAATGTATAATAAGATATCGATTCGTAGAAACTCTTATCATCAATTTATCTAATGTTTATTGAAAACTTTTAATACTAGATTACATGATTGTACGTAGATAAAAAATGTTGCAATTTACAAAGTTACAATGTACAACAATCATTTATTTATTATTAGATAATATAAAATACATACAAGATTTTTATATAGCCAATATTATAATAGAATAATTCATTTCTTAAGAGCAATCTAAAATATGTAATAAAAAATTAAGGAATAATTATAAACCTAATTTTGTATTTAAAGATAATTTATAATATCCTCTAATTTATATTCATTTTCTTTAATGTAGTTATTTTTCACGGATTTGAAGATTAACAAGAGACAAAATACAATATAAAAAAATGAATGTATCAATGGAAAAGAAGCTCTTTGATTAACAGATTCCACAATAAAGGATTAATTTAACTCTACACTCTCTTAATTTTTAATTAATAAGATATCTTGTGCTCTATATATGTATATACTTACTTAATTCGATCATTCCATCTTGTTAACAATCCATTTTCTTCTCAACTCTAAAATCTCTCACATTTCGTAATTGAGATTGTCAAATAAAATTCACATTTTGAATTGAAAGAGCACAAAATTTACACAAATATTCTTTTATTCACAGATATATTGTATTATGCCCTTTGAGAAATTTTGACGACTCTGTTCGGCGATGTGCAACGCAACTTTCGCGACCGATGCCGACGATTGACTAAAAAGTGTGAGATGAAGAAGTTTCCGTGCACAAGAGAAATATACGTGAGAACGGCACATCAAATTGAAACGTCAAAATAAACGATAACCATGGCGTTTCGCGGGAAAACGATAAAGAATAACGAATGTATGATTACATTATATTGAATAAGCATTAATTTATAAAAAGAGAAAAGAAAGAAAAAAGGGAAAGGGGAAAGAGAACAAAGAGTTTTTTTAACAAGTTATACAGCTGTTTATTAGCTGATAAAGTAGTGCCTTCTAAATCGAGAGATTTGTCTCTTAATTCAATGCATATTGTCGATTCATCTAACTATAAAAATAAATATTGATATAGACATTTATGAATTAATTTATCAAACAGACGTCAAAACTTCATGACATGGTTGACGTCTGTTTGAGATTCCGCTACAGTTTTAGGAACTTGATAGTAATTTATGGACAGATCATTTAACTAATATTGAGCGTGAATACGTATAACTTTGCTGAGGATGACTCCAAAGAGAGTGGAAATGTTCAAGAATTCATAATAAAGCTGCATATTTATTATTGTGAATTATTTTATATGAATATTTATGCGTACCGATTTTCGCGCTGATTCTCGTTAGCCTTAATTTTACTGTTATTTAATATAATTATATACAAAATTATGTATAATTGTGTATGACCAATTTTTTCTTATTTTTTCTAAAACAAACACTGCGAAAATTATCCCTTTAATTATTTTTCATGTTTTCATATTAATATTTCTATTACATTAAAAAATAATTTTATAGAAGAAAGAGAGTATATATTTATGAATATGCGTGTATAAATAATC